CTTCTTTTTTCAACGAGCAAATGTATTATGCATTGTTTGGCGAATCGTAAACAAAACGCATACTCTTCACAGCCACGATGGCTAGGAATACATAACGGCTTGTTTGTCTGCCCCTGAGACACTGAACGTACACCGATTTTCAGCTAAATCGAAAGACCCCGCCGTTTACCGTTAAAATGTTAGTTGGCCGTTAATTCGTTAACGGTGCAAAATACCACCCCAAAGAGGTACATTTTCGGAATAAGCGCATCGAGGAGGCCCTGTACACCGATTTTCAGCCAAATCGAAAGACCCCGTCGTTTCCCGTTAAAATGTTAATTGGCCGTTTACTCGTTAACGGTGCAAACTACCACCCCAAAGAGGTACATTTTCGGAATCAGCGCATCGAGGAGGCCCTGTATACCGATTTTCAGCTAAATCGAAAGACCCCGCCGTTTCCCATTAAAATGTTAATTGGTCGTTAACTCGTTAACGGTGCAAAATACCACCACAAAGAGGTACATTTTCGGAATCAGCGCATCGAGGAGGCCCTGTATACCGATTTTCAGCCAAATCGAAAGACGCCGCCGTTTCCCGTTAAAATGTTAATTGGTCGTTAACTCGTTAACGGTGCAAAATACTACCTCAAAGAAGTACATTTTCAGAATCAGCGCATCAAACAGGCCCTGTATACCAATTTTCAGCTAAATCGAAAGACCCCGCCGTTTCCGGTTAAAGGAAATAGTTCACTTTTAACATGGGGTTTTGAGCTGGAATAGCAGTTTCGTAGCTTGAGCTGAGACTAGCACAAATCAGGAGCTTTTACGGCTCAACGATCACCCTAGACGAAGAAATTCCATTTCTCGTTCCGAAAAGAGTGCCTTGTAGAGGTATGCGTGCCTTGCACAGGAATGCAGCCACGTCATCGTCAGCCAATCAGCGTGCTGCTTACAGCCAATGCAGTATTCGTAGGTTTGAGCTACGCAATATGATTGGTCAATGCGTAATAAGCTTCCGCGTCAAACATTATTTTACATAGAATATAGTTCGCCCTATATTAAAATAAAGAAAATAATTGTTTTTTACAAAAAGGTTTTATTTTATTTCATGATTATTTTGAGTATAAAAAATCATAAATCAATAGCAAAATACTGATTTCAGGAAAGTGGACTGTTTCCTTTAAAATGTTAATTAGCCGTTAACTCGTTAACGGTGCAAAATACTGCCCCAAAGAGGTACATTTCCGGAATCAGCGCATCGAGGAGGCCCTGTATACCGATTTTCAGCTAAATCGAAAGACCCCGCCGTTTCCCATTAAAATGTTAATTGGTCGTTAACTCGGTTACGGTGCAAAATACCACCCCAAAGAGGTACATTTTCGGAATCAGCGCATCGAGGAGGCCCTGTACACCGATTTTCAGCTAAATCGAAAGACCCCACCGTTTCCCCTTTAAAATGTTAATTGGTCATTAACTCGTTAACGGTGCAAAATACCACCCCAAAGAGGCATATTTTCGGAATCAGCGCATCGAGGAGGCCCTGGATACCGATTTTCAGCCAAATCGAAAGACCCCTAATATGCTGCTGTGAGGCTGATATTCGTTGCTGCTGAATTGACAGACGTCGCCAAAACCTTGCATTTGTATCAGATGCGTCATGTTGGCTTACATGTGACTTAGTTTGCATCGTTTGCATTCTGTTCGCGAACCTGTCAGTAAGATTATCAGCACTAATTATCGCACAGGATTGGTTTTTACTTTTTATGGTCGTCAACGTTGGGTTTAAGTGTCGTCATTTTAGCCAAGTATTCGTGCTGATTGGTGGTATTGTGCCAACTGACAAAATTGCGAACAGAGTGATATTTCACTTAAGAAATGTATTTGATATTATGATTATGGTGATTGAATGCTACATAGGGTGGAGGCTTAGGTTAGGTTAATTTATTTCTGAAGCTTACTGTTTTGTGTCAAACTTTTCATCTATGCTTATCTATTTGATAAGCACAGCCCACAGGTATGAAATATTTAGTGAGAAAACCCAAAAGTACAGTGGCGGATCAGGATCCAGGGGGGGGGGGGCAAAATGGGCATTTGCCCCTCCCAAACCGCATAATTTTAATATTACGCCTATGGACGAGGCATGGAAAGAATCGATAAATTGTTATGGTTTGCCCCCCCCCAAACTCTGAGCTGGATCCGCCACTGCAAAAGTATGATGAATGTTATGATTTTTTTTGCTTCACACTTTTATGTTACATGTTAAGATTTTTTGGAACACTTTCAATATGATTCACTTAGTATGCTTAAGAAGTGTGAAGTGATTAACTTTCATATTATGCTCTGCTCACTGTCTCAGTGGAATAACATGTTCTTAACAGAGCACTATCAATGTTTTTAGCATTTGGAATTCAAAAAGATGTCCTAATTTATTGATATCTTCACTTTCTTGATATATCTCAATTATCTGCTTCTGTAGGGATACATATTTTGTTCATTTTCATGTGTTTCAGGCTGATTCTTAATTTTCCAATGTTGGGGTTGTAGTTTTGCCATTGGGGTTGTACTTTTAAAAATTGGGGTTGTAGCTACAACCACCACGGTATATAAAGTTCCGCATGTGCACATGACTAACCAAAAATAAAGAAAAAAAACTAAAAATAGGGCACCACCAAAATTAAGTGGCCGAAATCCGTTGAGGTTTTGATTTTGGGCATAGGTAGGGGCACCACTTCGATTCATGACCCTTCCCTTGGAGTTTTCCCGAATCCGCCCCTGGTACGAATACATCAAATTTAAGGGGGGCACCTTGCTATTGGTGGCCCCCTTGCAGAATTCAAGGGGGCACGGTGCCCCGGTGCCCCCCCCCGTTCCGCCGCCTATGGTTTGCACTTTGCCCCCCCAAAAAACTCTGAGCTGGATCCGCCTCTGCATGTTTCCAAGTTGGTTTGGTTTCGGTATTTCTCCACGGTTTTGGTTGGTATTTGGTTTGGTATCGGTATTCCGATTTTCCGTAATTGACATCACTAACACAGATGTCGCAGTTTAGGTATATGCGGTTTGTATGCATAGATGTCTCAACTATAGCGACACATGCATTAGCGTCGCCACGGGGGGGGGGGGGGGGGCAAGCGGGGCAGCTTGCCCCCCCAACCTCGGACCGGGCACCCCCTGAGATCGATACAGATCCGATGAGATTTAGGAGTCGGGAAAAATGGGGGTACCTTTCTGAGAATGCCTGTGAGGTCAGGCTCGATTGGAGCGTGCAGTTCAAACCAGAGTGGGAGTCGCAGTGGCCAAAATCTTCAAGACTCCGACTCCAGACTCGGAAATATCAATGCTGTGATTCATTCCCTGTTCCTAGTTGGTTCCTTATTACATTTTATAGCTGATTTTCATAAGTTTTGGACTGGAGTGCTGGCACATAATTTTCGTTCAAAGCGTGACACGAAATCTTCGGGACCTTTCTCAACTCTCGTCAAATGTCTGCGACAGGCCCGCAGGGCTCATGAGCTTACTTTTCACACAGGCTCCTAAGGAGCTCTACTGAGCTGTAAAGAGCTCTACTAAGCTCTAAAAAGCTTTCAGAAAGCCCAAACCCGCCTCTGAGAGTCCCACTTGTGTCCATGTTCTCTGAGGGCCCATACAGGGATCTTTGAGGATCTTATACATACGTAGAACTCACGGATACGGGCCACACGGGTATTTGAGGATGCCTTCGAAAATTTCTGAGAACCTTAACTGGTCTCTGATAGTTCAGCCGAACTTTTGAGGCGACAGACTTTGCTAACCCCAAGCCGGCATCTGAGGGGGGTCACAACTCACGTGTCCCTCTGAGGGTCGCAATACATGTTTCTTATGTCCCTACGTAGCGTCCTTAGGGATTCGACACAGACCCCGATGGTCCACTCCACACGTTATCCGAGGGCTCCAGGCTCACCCTGGGCTTAGTCTCTTAGCGCCTGCCGCCCACACTGGCTTCCGAGGGCCCCACCTTGGGCGCTCAGAAAGCCCTAAAGCACCACATACACGTAAATATTTGGGGTGACCCACGCCGATCTCCGGGATCCTAAGCAGGCTTCTGAGAGTCCAAACTGACCGTGAGTGGCCTGAAATGGCTTGGAAGTACCAAGCCTATCTCTAAGGGATCCCTTGCCGCTATGCCGTGCGTAACTTTTGGTTCCGTGAAACATTTTTTGTTCGCGTTTGCAGCGCTTCCCTTCACACGAAAAACGAGAAACTTTTTGTTCACACTCGAGTGAACAAAACACTTCCTCTCACGGGAGCAAAGATGAATTACTTCCGATTCACACTTCCGACATTCACTCTCCGCCGAATGCCCAATTTAGCTACGATCGGCGGCTGGGGATAAGTCCTATGCATTTCACGTAAAACCTCTGCGTGAATGGAGGTTTTAGCAGGCTAATCCAATTAAATGGAGCGTTTTTTCACCTTGTTTTCTGGGTGATGATCATGAGCGACGAGCGTCTGCACAGGGGCCCTCTGCAGTGCGTCGGCAATTGCAGCCACTGTAATTCTACCAGTCGTTTTTGTCCAGAAATTTCAAAATTTCGATTTTTTTTCAGTAAAAAAATATACGTCATAGCTAGAAGGAAAACTTTATCACCATCGGATTTCTCGTACCATTGCGCGTCGAATGATATGTAAAACGAGTGAGTTGACGACTGTGGAAAGGCAAGATTTAACACAAAAGTTGATTTTGCCCCCCCCAACCGAAAATCTCTGGCGACGCCTATGGACACATGCATTGCAAATGGTAGCAGACAGCAGTATAGTTTCCCCTACCAAAGTGGTGGTTTTCTACCACAGATGCTCGTCGAGGTCGGAATTTCCAAATACACTGTTGCCATGCGGTGCGTTTACGCCGCGGAGAGGACGCCATCGCTGATTGGCTGCCGGCCCCGGCCGCCGGCTGTGATTGGTCGGCCCGCGAGTTGCCAGAGCGGCCGGCCGGCTGGCGCGCGCGGACGCCGGACGGTTCCAGACGTGGTCGGAGCGCGGAGGAGGGCGGACTGCGGAGCGTCGGCGCGGGATGTCGGAGCGGTCTGCGGCGCCGCGCTATCTGCAGTGATTGTGCCTGCTGACCGGCCGGCCGGCCCGGGTCCAAGATGTCTGCGCGGCTGCCGGGACGCCAACACGGGTGAGTGCACGTTTGGGGGGGGGGGGTGCACGGGCTGCTCCAGCTCGTGGGGGTGGGGTGGGGTGCGCCTTGCAGAGATTACCGCGTGTTTTACTGTAATGAGTGGACCGAATGTCATACAGAAAGGAACGGGATGGATACCCCTTCGTCGTCTGGTTGCCATGGCAACGGCTGGCCGGAAGCGGCCGCTTCTATCTTCGGCTACCGGTGCACCGTGTTTTAACGCTGGCCAAAAACTGGCCAGGACGTGAAATATCAACTATTTTTAAACGTATTCATTTGGCCACTATCGTGTTCAGAAATGATCAGAGCATCTTTAACGATGGAAACTTTTATTCTCTTTACTTTTGAAAACGTTGAAAATGTACAACAAAGTCGGACAACTTTCAAAAGCTAAACTTCGGCAAACAAACGCAGAAACAGTCACCTTGCTTCACGTCAACATCTTCGAGCTTTGGATTGACAAAACTATATAATTTGGGTACCAAACGATAGCGCGAACTTTTGGCTTTGTAATGAGTCATAATTTATGCAATTATAATGCACATAGGTGTTACATTTATTGATTTCCGTCAGCCCTTACATTGACACACTTTTTTGAAAAAATGTCAATGTTCTTATAGAGCTACAAAAAATTGTACGCTAGTGTACGGTCTCAGACTACCACCACACTGTGGGTCAAGGAGTTGTCTACATGTCCTCAAAATTTCAGCTGCGCCTGAGTGCGCCGGTGTTGGGGGTGAACACTTTTTTGAATGAGTCATGGCTGCTCCTGCTGAGCCATGGGACGGGCCCTAGCGTGCGTTAAGGGAAAATGCTAGTACTCCTCGTTCATTCTCTCGTCTGTTGTGACGAGTTGGTGGCCCATGGAAGGTCACCGACCTGTGTGCGACCTGCCGTACCCTGGGGCGTAATCAGCTGACGGCACGACCCCCACGACACGTGCCAGTTGCATTTCCATGTGTCGCGAGAAGAAAACAAAGGGTCTCCGGAACCAGAGACCGGACAATGTCGGTGAATGACAGTTGTTCATTCAAAAACTGTAGCATTCCTATGAAATATACATTAGACCTCTGTACACCTCTGTACTGTACACCTCTGGTGTACAGAGGTCTATGATACATTTCTTAAATATCAACAGCATTATCGGTGTAATTAATTATGTATAGTACCTGGTCTATAACAGGAAATTTCCACCCCATGGCTATTGCAGCAAATTCATAGTTTTAAACATATTTTAATCCCTGATGGAGCGCAATTAAATATTCATTGTGCCCACTGCCCAGTTTGCGATGGGACTGTGAACTGAAAGGTGACTGTATGAGACATGCCACAGCACGCATCGCTGATCACGATGATCGGCTTTTGATCGTCCATCACCTGTTTGCGTTCGGCAGGGTTATCATCGGCCTCTTCAGTCAGTATTAATACGTTCAATGTAGGTGGTATGGTATCATTAGTGCTGTCCACCTTTATAAAAAGTATCCGTTTGTTGCAGTAAGCGTCAGTTAGTATGGCAATGAAGTGCTTTTACGTGCACGTTGCATGGTAGGTACATAACGCACCATACAGTAGGAATTGGTAAGAAGTTTTAGGATACATTCTACCATTTCACGACATGCATTGGAGGATCCAGTGAAGGGCATAGTGGGTATTTGCCCTCCCCATAGCTGAATCGTGTGGGAAAAACTATCCTTTTGCCGCTCCCAAAGCTTTTGGTGATGATAAATACCTATAATACGGCGTCGATGCCTATCTGGACGAAAAGCGGGTCTTTCCGTCACAACCATTCTAAGGGATGGAGCTGACCGCTCGCTGCTCATTATTTAGGTCGGTATGCTGATAACAGATGGAACTCCCTGAGCTGCACGCATGCATATTGCAGACGTAGTGAAGCGTTGTAAAGTCACCGGCGCGGCGGTGGGTCGGGGTCACCGAATGGGTCGGAAACTTTTGCCCTCTCCAAACGGATTAGCTGGATCCGCTCGTGAGTCATGTGACGTAAAACATACAAGACTCTGGAGGACTTACTTAAGTGGAGACCGGGTTAACATCAAGTTGATATAAAAATATACGTTTAAAAATGTTTTTGAAATAAATATAAAGATTGTAGGTCCTATATGAATAAGTCCTATACCTATAAGAGCATTCAAGGTCACCTGGGATCATCAACGCTAATTAACAAGGTCATGTCCTCAAACTTGACTTGCCTCGTCGATGAGCCTTGCTCAGACTTGCGATTACTCTAAATTTACAGATACCTAAATGTGCGTGCATTCATAGCTAGAACATGACAATATTTTTTATATATTTCGTGACACTTGTGACGTCATAAACAAGTACATAAGCATCTGGTCCGACACATTTTGCACTCTAAATGATCGTTAGTCACCAACGTTTCGTTTGAGCCCAAAAACACGTTTGTATCTCATATAGTTTCTTAGTTACGAGCCCTGGCCAGTTTTGGTCCTGAGTTAAAACATAGTGCGGTGGCAGCGCGGGCTTGGTGCGGGGTGCGCGAGCCGGCCCCTTCCGGTCGCTTGTCGGGCTCTATTTATCTTTAGTTTTTTTTTTTTTTTAATGGTGTCCATCTCAAGAGTTGTGCAGTCTGCGGAACTAATGCAAAGTAGAGTCGATGCGGTTAAGATAGCGGCGCTTAGTAAGGAATGCAATCTAGACTTTTGGGCAAACTAACTAATTGTTGGGCAAACTAGACTTTTGGAATCAAAATATGGAGGCATCAATAATTTGATTCTGGTGGGAGGAGCCATGACCAAATATGGGCATGGAATCAATTTTTTGATTCATTTGTGTACACTTTTGACTTCAAATGCATCGTTACGGTTGTTACGGTATCGTTACGGGTAATTTACCGCCCATGACGGTGAGATTTTTCTTTAAAAAAGTAGAAAAATGTGGTAGGTTTGCAATAAATGTTGCCTCAAAACTAAGAAATTGTGCCTTTGGCCATGTGAATGGGAAAAAGACAGAGCCACTGTCCATTACGTAAAAGCTGTTTTGAGGAAATCACACTGTATGTTATTTTCGTATCATGAATCACATAGGTACTAAACAATCATTATTTGTGTAAAATGGCAAAATTAATTTTTTAAGCCCCTTATTATCATTGTTGTAGTGCTTTTATATTAATTATATGGTTTTACCTGTTGCATCAGTTTTTGTATTCTTGACATTTAAAAATTGTGAATTGTTATCAAATGTAGTGAAGCTTAAGTACAACAATGCTATAGGTAAGTGTTGTGGTGCTGAGGATACCAGTGATACCACTAAATGAGACTAATAGCAAGATAAATGCTGTATTCTTGCAAGTCATTGTTACCTATCTGTTAACATTACCTGTGAATCAAAATAATGATTAGCCAGCTGATGTGGAATAAATATTATGATTATCTGTTTAAAGTGAATCAATTCCTTGATTGCCTTTCACTACATATGGAATTTAAATTGTTATGATAGGAGCAATATTATTTTGCTTAGGAGATAGTTCCAGCATTTCTGTTCAAGATCAGGCATGCTCCTTCTTGAAACACTCTTATTTTTATGTGATTGGTAAGTTAGAAATGGTCTGCATTTATCCCCAAATATGGTCATAAGGAATCAATCTTTTGATGCCTCCATATTTTGATTCCAAAGGTCTAGTTTGCCCAACTGATCTATCACAACTGATAAGACAGGTTTAGGCATACCTAAAACTTTTCCGATGTGTTTTTTTCTTTTCTGCCGGTTTGGCAGGGCTCCAAGTACGTTTTTTGACTAAGCACACGGATTAGCCAGTGAAGCAGGCGCAAACTGAACCTGAGAAAATCGAGCGTCGCCTAATTATACCATGTGAATGACCGGTTCCCGATTAGTTAAAGGGACCTTTAAAAAAGTTATAAATTGGCATGAAAGTGATGCCGCTCGGTTCAGAAAGAGTGAAAACGAATAGGTATCTACCGAATTTCACCGAAAAATATTCACCGGTTTTCAAGACTTTTACTTTTGTTTACTTTTTCGGATCCTGTTCCTAGCGACTTTATGTGGAAGCAATAGTTTGTCAGCTGAAAGAGCGGGACTTGTTTCGCGCGAAGACGTGCATAAAGTTGCATTATATTCACATTCAGACTCGCGTGCACATTCGCGGACCCCTCAGATTTGGCTCAAACCTGCTCAGCTGATAGAATTTGAGCTCCTGATTGCGAAAATCATGTTTTTATTTCACGCCGTCAAGTGGTTCTCAAAATATTCACATTTGTTTTACTGCTAACATATTCTGGACCGTAACCCTTATTGAAAAAATCGGACACCACCAAATTTTTGGAAAACTCCGAATTTAATGTAAACTGATCCCAAAAAAACTAATTTGTATTTAACGCCGTCTCATAGTTTTCTCAGGATGAGCATCTTAATATCGTTCAAGGTCATGCACCCTTTCTCACCTTTTTACGCTATTTGACACGTGACAGCTTTATATTTATGATGGACATTCGCACTACCTCCAACAAAAACAATATACTGAAATCCAAGGGGCGTTGCTGTACCCACGGTATATTGAATTAGGGGGTAGGACCAAGTTTAGTAGGCATGATCTCAGGAATTATCTTGTTTTATATGGCGGTTTTTTATTATCACAATATTATTTTTGATGTCATGAAGTTTGTATATCTCGGTTTTACGAAAAATAGTAGGGCAACAAAGATAATTTTCGCGAAAAAATAATTTTAGTTGGAAACATCCATTCTGGTATGCAAACTTCAGTATAAAGCCCATTATGGTGACCGTCTAGTGTGCTTCCAAGGCTGAGTACCTGATATCAACAGGAGTTGTTTACTATTTTACCTTACGTTGCTAGGTGGTTGCTAGGGAGCTAAGGATACTCTCTTGCGCGATCATTTGCACTTATTTTTCCTCATTATATCGACATGTTGCTGTTTCTGAGATCTAACTCATGGTAAGAAAAAAAACAGTTTTCTTAAAATGTGTTTTTAAGTGCCGTAGTA